TATGGTAAGAAAAACTAATTATATGATCTTGTCCTTACAACAAAAACCTTTTTAATACAACTGGAGTGATTAATGACCATAACTTAGAAATTAGTTTGGAATGGTGGCATTCCAAGCCCTCTATCATTCTGCAAGATGACTGAGGAGAGAAAATCCTTCCTTACTGTGCTCAGCCTCAAACACACAAGCAAATGACAAATGTAGGAGAGCACTACAAATCTCAGAAAATAAATGGGTGTAGCTTTGTTAGCTGCTTGGTGTGCTACTAAGAGGGGAATCTGTAGTAGGATGGGATACAGCAAAGAAAAACAAGAATTACTAAAAGTACCGGAAAGCGAATCAGGGAAAATAGGTGTGCACAGAGTTCACTGCTTGTTTCCAGTCACGGTCAGCAAGCAGAACCTTACTTTCATAATGAAGCTTTAAATGTGTTTTGTAGGAGTTCATACACAAATTGGGATCAGGGATTTCCCTCATGTTTAATTAGCAATCTGAGGAGAGAGGACAACGACATTTGTAGCAGAATCCAGTGGGCCATAAGGCCAGGCGTGGTGGCAGTTATATTAGATCAGCTGGAGATGAGGAAGTTAAATTATGAAGCACTAGAAAGGTAAAGTTAAAACCACATTTCCTGCAGAGCTGTAAAAATGACAAGGACTCTGGAAAGATGGCACAGCTAATTAGCATTTAACTCAGTGAATTACTTTAATGGCATTGTAAATCCCAGTTTGAATTTCTTCCCGAGTTAGAGTACTGACCATTATCTGCTGATCATATATATGGTGTATAATACATACATACACATATATATGTGTGTGTACATATATATGTATATGTATGGAGATAACTTACATTGAGCATATCTGAGAGATGAGTTGTAAGAGTTCTCCCAAACCAGGGTGCTGCAATGTCTCAAGCACCCTGTATCTTCTTGTGCTATGAGCAGCACTGCTGATTTCTCTGCAGGTGGTCTGAATTTAACAAATGCTTTAAGCATTCTAGGAATTGCAAAATAAAATTACAAATAAAATTTAAGATAAAAAAAAAATTAAAAATAGCCATGTTCTTCTAGTGGTGCCCAGTGAAAGGATGTGAGGCTGCAGGCACAAATTGCAATACACAAAGTTTTCATTAAACGTAAGGGAAGTGCTTCTTTCAGTCAAACATGGGAAGAAGCTGCCCAGAGAGGCTATGGAGTCACCATTATTGGAGGTATTCAAAGCTTGGCTGAACACAACTCAGAACAATTTGTTCTATTTGACCCCACTTTTGAGCTAGGGTTTGGACTAGAATTTATCTAGAGATCCCTTGCAATCTCAGCTCTCCTCTTCTGTGAGCCTCTGAAACTGAGAAGGTCAGTGCTTCTCATTCAGCTTAGTATTCTTTGGGGTTAATTGAAACAAAACACGATTTTTCAAATGATCCTTGTATGCCATTAATGCACATATTGGCAGTAACCTGCTTGCAGAACTTCCTACTACTTACACTGATGTACATCTTCACCTTAAAACAAGAACCCAGCACATACAATCTTCTGTAGTACTTCATGCCAACTATATGTAAAGGCTGAAGGAAGTTCAGAGGTGTAAGAAATGTCTTTGAGAGCATGCATCTTGTCTTCTTTTTCCTTCCTCTCCTTTCTTCTCCTGCCTTCTTTTTCTTGTGCATAGTATGGGGGCTCAGGTAAATGTGGATGGCACTACTTTTTTTACAACACTGCACCAGAAAGAAAAGAGGTGAGTTCTCAGTAACCTGTAGCTTTATAACTTGTCCAAATGATTTCTGCACAGAACTACTACACTGTTTGTACTGGCTTTGAAGTTGCCATCTCTTTGAATCCTGAGGTTTTCCCTGCACATTCCGGTGCTAAGAAAAGCAGATGTGTGAGTCAGATCAATCCAAGAGAAAGGAAGGCTTTGAGTACAGCAGAAGCTGGGTTTGTCAGGAGAAAACCCGTGACATTTTGTTCTTTCAGTCAGGTGTGCTTGGCACCTGAAACTGCTAACAGGAATTTTGCAGTGGCAAGAACAGAGAGTGGAGATAAAACAATGCTGGTGGGTGTGTGCATATGAAAAGTAGAAATTTTGTTTCTGCAGACTAATGGTGGACTACAATTTCCTGCAGCAGATTTTAAGGAATAAACCAGGGAAGAACACCCCTACCCTCACTCCCCAATAAAACAGCTAAATCTGAGGCATCTAGAGCTTACAGAGAATACATATTCCTAAACACTTGTTAAGATGCCTAAAAATAACGTTTATTTCAAATTGATGGTTTAAGTTTTTTAAATTAAACCTTTTTACCCCTTGTCTAGGAAACAAACTGGAGTTCTGAGCAAGGGGTGAATAGGGCAAGAAGATAAGAGATTATTAAGGGGTTAAGTTCTGCTGCTGTTTGGATGGGAACAAAGTTTTATTTTAAACACCTTTTCAACGAGCAGCTTTCATATCTTTATTTTTCCTTGTTGCTGTATTTTTTTGTCAAGTTAATGGAAAATAATGTAAGTTAAGCAGATCATCTCATTCAGGATAAAGAGAACACAATTGAAAATGAGGTGGTTGTGATACTTACAAACCTGAAAGTGCCTTTTCTGTCTGAAATTATGTAATTGCTTCCAGTAAAAAAAAAAGAAAACCACAAAAATGAAACAAGGTTGTGCAAGATTATTTAACTATTATCACTGACCTGGACCAAAAAATTTGTCTCGATAAACAAGGGAGACTTGTGACTTTGTTCCTGTATTTGACAAAGCTCATTTACACTAACACCTAAAAAATCCCAAAATAATCCACTCAGGCCCAGTCCCACCTGCTCTGATGACAATGTCAGCTCTGATGGAAATTCAAGAACAGGACTGAGTGCATGTCTAACATGTAGGTGACGTTAATATTTTCTCTATGCAAGCTTAAAATATAAAGTATAACTGAGTGGTATATTTCTCCTAAAAAATAATAGAAAAGTACACCATAATGACTCACCATTTTTAAAATTACATATAACTTCTACGGAGGGATGAGGGAGACTTCATTCTAATTTTGAAATCTTGTTCTTAAAAGCTACAGGACCATTTTTCCCACGCTGGTACACTTGTCCTTCCAGCTATAAACAGAAGGGCAGAATTTATATGTAGAGTTCTGGAAATCTCTTTACAGGATCTAAAAACAGCCTTTCAGTTTGTGAGAATCTTGCCATGATAAACTACATCTTGTAGTTTGTTACAATGTGAGTGCTGAGTATGACTGGAGAGAAGGAAATTCCAGATCTCCACAAGTAAATTTGTTGCTATTTCTAATATTTAATAGGAAAGTATTTCCTAATCTCATCATTAGGGCAAACCTCAGTACTGGTATCTTGAGACTGGGACTAGACTAACTTGGAGAACACTTGATGATGAGGTAGAAGAAAGTACTTATTATCAGGAACCTTTTATCAGCTTTTATATTGTGACAATTTGGGATATGAGCAAAGCAGTGGTGTACTAAGAAGTGAAGGCTAAAACGGAATGCATACTTGCAGCAGCCTTGGAAATACTTACAAGGTAAACCTGCACTTGTAGTTAACATAAAAGGGGACAGAAAGGTGATGTAACAGCTGGGGGAAAAAGGAAGACGAGCTGATGTTCTTTCCCTGAGTACGGAAGGCCTGTGAGACTTGTTTTAAAACAACCCTCATCTTCAGTGGTACTAATTTACTTTGTATAATCCAAGAGTTCCTTTTTTTTTTTGAAGATACACATGCTTGTAGAGCCACCAGCGCATTAACTTCTGACTGAAGATAACATAGAGTCCTTTTGAAAGACTTTTGGCTACCTGTAGAGAACAGTTTACAGTTACTCAGTCCATGGCTCCACATCTCCGTAAGTCTTTTGCATCTTCTTGTTCATACCAAGTCAGCCAGCTGCTTCTTTGCAAGTTCTGCTCCTGATTTATAGGTATTCAGGCCTGACCCCTTACAAAGGAAATAACGCTCACGAGTGCTACATTTCCCTTGGCACCTCTGCACACGGCAGTTCCCTGATGGGGTAAGGAAGGGATGTCCCGCAGCAGCTGGCGGAACGGGAAGGAAGTGGAGTGTGAGTGGAACGCGGAGCTGCTGCATTTGCAAGGCACGAACTGCTGTGTTGCTGTTGGAAGAGGTCTGGGGAGCAAAGGAGTTCAGGGACGGAGAGGTGTGTTAATAATTAAGGCAAATACCTACATTTAGTAGTTTAAATGGGGGGATCACCTCACGTATTAGAATTTTGTGCAGTGATTGAACTGCAGTGCTTCACTTATTTTAAACGCTGTTTCTCGGTAAGCGAGTTCATGCACTCGGCCGCTGATGGCCCCACCGTCCGTACCTTCAGGCCGGGCTGCCGGCGGCACCGGGAGCCGCGCTCCGCAAGCTCCCGGCATGTCCGGGCGCATCTCCAGCGCAAGGCTGCGGGAAAGCACCGCCCTCCAAAGGGAAGGAAAAGGAATAAAGGGAGGAGAGAGGAAAAATTCCCACGTGCCAATAACAGCTCAACTGTAAAATTCAATCGCGCCGACCCTGCCCACGTCCCAGGGCTCAGCCGCAGCTCGGCGCTCGCCCATCCGTCCCTCAGCGCAGGAGCCCGGGCCGGCGGGGAAACGCCGCCGCTCCGGCCCGCGCTCCCCGCGGGGCCTCCGCGGGCCGTGGGCCCGGGACACGGCGCGCGGCCGCCCGTTAACGGCCGCGCGGCCCCAGCGCCCCCTGGCGGCGCGGACCCGGCCACCCCCGCCGAACGCGCACGGAGCGGCGGGGCCCGCGCGGGCGGCGGGGCCGGGGCGGCGCTTCCGCGCGGGGAGGGGCGGGGCGGAGACAGCGCCGCGAGCCAGTTGGCTGCTCCGCGCCGAGAGGTGCGCCCCGCGCTCGCAGCGCTCCGTGATAGGACGAGAGGAGGCACAGGGGGCGGGGCACTTGGCACGGCGCGGCCCCGTTGGTTGCTTCTCTCGCCTGGGCGCGGCGGGCGCAGCCATTGGCCGCCTGGCGGCGGGGGGGGCGAGTCCGGCGGCAGCGGCCTCCGGGGCTGGGGTCCGTCTCGGCGGCAGCGGCGGAAGTCTCGCGAGGGAGTGCGGCCGGGATTTGGCGGTGCTGCCTCCCTCCCTCCCTCTCTCCCTCTCCCTCCCTGCCTGTCGCTGGCTGCGAGGCGCTGGTGTTTGTGTGGAAGGGGGAGGAGGAGAAGGAGGGCAGGCAAAAGGAGCCCGAGCCCCACCATCCGCCGAGGAGAGCGGACCGGAGCCCCCTCGCCTCCTGCGAAGCTCTCTCTCCCCCCCTCGCCCCGCCATGGCCTCGGGAGACACCCTGTACATCGCCACGGACGGCTCGGAGATGCCGGCCGAGATAGTGGAGCTGCACGAGATCGAGGTGGAGACCATCCCGGTGGAGACCATCGAGACCACCGTGGTGGGCGGCGAGGAGGACGAGGAGGAAGAGGAGGAGGACGAGTGCTGCGAGGAGTGCGGCCCGCACCACCCGCCCCATCACTACCACCACCACCAGCCCATGATCGCGCTGCAGCCGCTGGTGTCGGACGGGGACCCCAGCGGGGCGGGCGGCGGCGCGGCCGGCGGTGGCGGGGGGCAGCTCCACCTGCACCACCACCACCAGGAGGTGATCCTGGTGCAGACCCGCGAGGAAGTGGTGGGGGGAGACGATTCGGACGGACTGCGGGCCGACGACGGGTTCGAGGATCAGATCCTCATCCCGGTGCCGGCCCCCGCCGGGGAGGACGAGTACATCGAGCAGACCCTGGTCACTGTGGCCGCCGCTGGCAGCAAGAGCGGAGGCAGCGGCTCCTCCTCGGCCGGCGGAGGAGGCCGCGTTAAGAAGGGCGGCAGCGGCAAGAAGAGCAGCAAGAAGAGTTACCTGAGCGGGGGAGGCGGCGGAGGGGCCGAGGGCGGCGGCGGCAGGAAATGGGAGCAGAAGCAGGTGCAGATCAAGACCCTGGAGGGGGAGTTCTCGGTCACCATGTGGGCCTCGGGTAAGTGCGCGCCGGACCCCTCCCTCCCTGGGCCGCGGGCCCCGCCGGCGGCCGCGCGGTGCGGCCGGGACAGTTTTGTTTTGAAGGGAGGCCATGTTTTGATGTGTGCGATGGGCGCCGCCATGTTCATCGCCAGGGCAAGTATGGCGGCTCCCCGAAAAGATGGCGGGGTCTGCGCTGCCGCCGCCGCTCCTGCCCGGCCGCGGCGGGGGGAAGGAGGCAAACATGGCGGC